CAAAGTCTACCGTATGACCTAATATTACTAGAATCCAAACTGTTATTCTTCTCTAACTGTCCAAGTGGAGCCAAACATATCTAATCTTTCTGCTTTTACTACCCTCCCCTATCCTACTTATTCCTCCTGAGTTAGTTCCAGTCCTATCCTCCAACAGGCATTGCCAGTTACACATGCAGTCTGAGTCTGAACTCATCTGAGTTTGCCAGTGTATACTGCTGTTAAAGCATGTGTCACATTGTTTAACAATTAACTATTGACTTGTCCAGTTCATACAACAAACTCCAAACTTACAGAAAGAAGGAAACATATTTATCTCTGTATTCAGAGCCTGGGACACACATGGACACACACACAGAGCAGAAGTTCCATGATATTGGTTAATGTGAAACTGTAGTAAGAAATATTTATAGAACAAAATTGAAAAGTTAAAGACTATTTGCAAGATTGAGAAAGTACTGAAAGCAGGAAGAAGTGTTATACAACACAAAATTGGAAACTGAGAAAACTCAAATTTAACTGATCAAATTAACTCCAAGTTCTAGAAATTATGTGTCAGAACAGGCCATTTCCACTTTACTTCCAGGACATTAAAAGAACAAAAAGAAAAAAAGATCTACATTTGTCAGCTGTAAAATTACTTAAAATTATAGGACTTTTAAATAGTAATTGAGGGCAAATAAAGTAATTAAACATTAGAAGTCTTCCTAGTGCTGCCAGGCACAGTGGCTCACGCCTGTAATCTCAACACTTTGGGAGACTAAGGCGGCGGATAATGAAGCCAGGCATTCAAGACCACCCTGACCAACACGGTGAAACCACATCTCTACTAAAAATACAAAAATGAGCCAGGCATGGTGGCATCCACCTGTAATTGCAGCCACTTGGGAAGATGAGAGGAGAATCACTTGAATCTGGGAGGCGAAGTTGCAGTGAGCCAAGATCACACCACTGCACTCCAGTCTGGGCGACAGAGCGAGACTCCATCTCAAACCACCCCCCCCTCCCCCCGCCCCCCGACAAAAAGGAATTCCTAGTGCTATAAACAGAAGATAGTCATGCAGAAATAATTTATAAAAATATTTCAGATTCATTTCACATAGGGACCAATTATAGCCTTTTTGAAGGTCTCTTGTAATGTTTTAGCTACAAGCAGTATGTTCATTCTTATAAATGAATCCTTACCTTTTAGATTATATACTACTTTTTGCAATCAGTTCTGACCTTTAGAGAAGTTGGAATGAGATATAAGTGTGAAATTGAGTTAGTTTTCTTTTAAATCTTGATAATGGGAACTGCATACTTTCTCAAGAAGCACATATGCTACCATCATCTCAAAGGCTTAAGGATTGTTGGTAATCAGAATATCCTTTTGTGTGTATAAACTTTGCTTTGCTGAATGAAAGATGCTGTATTAAAAAGTTGAAAGCCGGGGGAAAATACCAAACAAAACCAATTTATATTAATGAACCCTAATTTATATTAAAGTAATTCAATTATATATTTTAGAACATAAACGTTTCTCAGAGTTATGCAATGTTTGTTTCAACCTGCAATGATTAACAAGCACTTTTAAGAACACTCAATAATATATGAAGTTCAAGCATGCCATAGGTCATCTGTAATTTAGAAATTATTCAGATTTCAAAAGTCAGTTTAGAGAGTTGGAAAATATAAAAATTTAACTACTATATTGAGAAAATATTTCAAAAAAGATCTACAGGGCACAACTTTGATGCAGTGTAACAAGTAAATGAAACAAAAATCAAAAGATTAAGCAGTTAAAATAGGGGATTACAAGGAGAGCAGATGATATATGTCCATAAATTAGTCTAGGAAAGATTCAGCCAAATTATGTCTAATGCATCACATAATGCATGAAATAAATATCCCATGTATACCTAAATTTCCTCTGTTAATTGATATTTTATAAACAAGTAGCAGAATTTTTCCAAGTCCAAGCTATAAATCTCAGAACTTACTGAAGGATTGGTGAGTTAACGTGTTTTGCTGTTTTTTTTAATTGTTTTGGGTTTTTAAAAATCTTGTTATAACAGAAATCTTATGCTTTTTTATACATGAAAGCTACATGACTGATATAGTAAACCAAATTCTAAAGATAAATTATTTCACTTAATCTTCAGCCTCCAAAAATACACATCCTTATATCTACATAGTTTATCTACATAGTTTATATCCTTTAGTCAAACACAGATTCTTATATTTAAATATTTTTACCAAAAAAAAAAACCCAAAATATTTAAAGGGTTTAAAGAACAGTCTTCCAAAAATATTAAATTGTACAACAAATACTGAAAATGAGCATCTTTTCAAGACGAATATGACTATAATTTATCCACCTGTATAATAAAGAATTTCAACTTTATTCACCCTTCGTCCCTAATTCATACAAGTAAGCCAAGGCAATAAATATACCAACCACTATTCAGAAGTCAATTTTGGAAATATTCCACATAGAATTCCAGTTTATGTCTCTGATGCGGAGGGAGAAAAGTCATTCTTCCCTTACCCAAGTCACAGAAAAAAAACAGTAACATATTAAAAGCTTAATTCCAGCAAGTGTGACAAAGGAATTTGTAATTTTCATGTACCTATTTAAAGTGAAATGTTTCAAATTTCCAACTGGCTTGTAGTTCACAAGTTGATGCATGGCCCTTACTTGCTACAACTACCAGAAAAACAGCTCTGATGAACTTTCTGAACACTAGTTTAAAAAACAAACAAATCTAGCTTCAAACTATTAATGTGTATTTTAACATCACTCTTTAATCCATAATTTGAGAAAATTTTTTAAACTTAAAAATAATGAGTGATCAGAAAACAAATATCAACTTTTAAGAAAAATGTAGCTCTTCAAAAACTGAAGGGGTTAAATAGGGATGGTTAATAGATATAAAAAACAAAATACAATCTAGTATTTGATAGCACAACAGGGTGACCATACTCAATATATTTAATTGTACACTTTAAAATAAGAGTATAATTGGATTGTTGTATCACAAAGGGTAAATGTTTGAGGTGATGGATACCTCATTGACTCTAATGTGACCATTATGCATTGTATGCCTATATCAAAATATCTCATATAACCCATAAACACCTACTATGTACCCATAAAAATTAAAAACTAAAAATAAGACTGAACAAGCGCCTTGGGAAAATGCAGTACCCTTAAAGAAAGGATATGTCCGTAATTTCAAACCGGCATTTCAATATTGTTTTAGATGTTAGCTTTTTATTAAATTTCAGCCATTTGAAAGTTACAAACCTGAGACAACGTCTTTATTTAGTTTTGTCTTTATTTTTGACTATTTTTCAAATGGATACTTATAATTACAAGAAAAGTTTACAATATATTTAATGTCTAAATAAAGATAAAAGTTTCTCACACTCAGTCTAAGTTCCAAGTGTGGAGAATGGTCATTTGCATACTTTATTCCTAAAATTCTTTTCACTGTCACATAGCAAAACATCAACACTTGATAAATTCAAATTATAAATATAACTTACTGAATGCTACAAATTCTATGCAATAGCTAAGTCTCTTCAAGTACACAGTAACAGTTCTACAGCCCACGGCATGGAGGATGAGGGTAAAGATTAGTACACTAATAAACTGAGGTCTTTAAATTAAAACTGTTTTTCAGTGGTGATGCTGCATTTAGTTACAAAAACACTTAACTACACAAGTGTACCTTATAATTCTGGAAAAAGGTAACCAAAAGCTTTTGATACAGGAGTCCCTCTTAAGAAACTAGAGGCATCTGGTATCTAAGAAGAGCATACGAAATGACACAGGTGTAAGCCTAGACACTGCTGGGAGTTATCACGCTGGAGACAAATACTATACAGTCCACATCTGCAACCTAATTTTGCTTCAGCATCCCCAGAGACTTCGAAAATATTTCTTAGGGTAGGTTGCAAAACAGTGCTTCCTCTTTTATTCTCATCACCCCCATTACGATACAAAGCAACACAGGCAAGAAAATCAAACGGCCAACTGCAAGGGCTTAAACACACACACAAAGCATCTTCTTTCTAGCGCCCAAATCGGTTATTTATTCCACCTGTTTGTAAATCCACAATTTCACAATAACACAAACTGCCTGCTGAAAGAAAGGAGGGAGGAAAAGAAAAGAAAAAGGAAAAAGAAAGAAAGAGAAAGAAAGGCAAATTAATGCTTTGGAGTCATTACCCTTCCACCTAGGCTTGGGGGGTGGGGGATGGTACAAAAACAATGGATATTGAGGGGCTAGGGGGAAAAAATCGTCTTGCCCCAAAGCCTCTTGTGTTAAGAACCTGAGGGAGTCGGGAGAGAGAGACTAGTTTTCCTCTCTCCGTAAAAGCTGGGCTATCACGGGGAGAGGTTGCCATCGGGCATGTTCTACCAGGCGGTCTCGAAGGGCTACAATTCGCTTCGCCAGGCAACACACCCAGAGCCGATCCAGCACACTTCACTCCGGGGTTTTTGGGGAGATGAGAACAGGAGAGCGCGGTGGGCTCTAGGGAAGGAGCGCGGAGACCCCACCCTGTATGACCGCCGCTGCGCCCGGGCCCTCGCCAACGATTTACACGACCCGGGCACCCCGCAGGCTGGGCCCGGGACCGCCGGGGGCCGAGAAGGGCGGGACCATCCGCCGGGCGCCCCCGGCCCGCGCCCTCGCGCCGGCTTGCCCTCGCCCAGGCGCTGTCCGGGCCGCCTGCCGCCACCGCAGGCCCAGCGCCGGCCGCTGTCAGAACCGGCCGCCTCCCACTCCGCGCCGGGCTGCGGGCTTCCAGGCGAGCCGGTTTCTAAGGCCCCGCACTCACAGACAGCACCCACGAAAGCGGCGGCACCTCCCCGGGCCCCGGCCCCTCGGGCCTCGCCCCGGCGTCGCCGGCTCCCGCCTGTCAGGGCGCGCGGGGCCTCCCCTTACCGACAACCAGCCTGACTGCCCGACGGACAGGAAAGCACGCAAGAAGAACCGACCAACACACACCCTCCGCCTCATCGGCCCCGGGTTACCGTCAGGAGCCCCGACTCCGCCATCCTCCTCGCTCACCCTCCTTCCTCCTCTTCCTCCTCCTCCTCCTCCTCCTAAGAAGCGACGCTGCCCAACCGCCGCCCCCCGCCCCTCCCCCACTCGCCTCGCCTCGCCTCGCCCCGCCCCGCCCCGCCCGTCCCTCCACTACTCTCGCTCCGGCCGCCACGCCCCACCCCTCCGGCGTGGGCCCGTCACTCGCTAAGCAAGAAAAATGGGCGGAGCCGGGGCAAGTGAGGCTGCCCAATTAGAGAGGGGCACTGTCGCCAGCTTCCCTGTCTCCGCCCTTTTCCTTTACTCAGCTCCTCTACGCCGTCTCCCGCCCACTGGGCGCCGCTGGCTAGCCGGGCTACAGAGTAAGCCTCCAGCAGGGTAGAGTGACGACTCCCCGACCGGAAGTTATTCTTGAAGCTAAGGTGGCCATAAGTGATAATGGCAACAGGAGTTTTTCTGGCTTCCTGTTTCCAGGGTGACGTAGATTTTTTTTTTTCCTTCGCCCCTTTCACCGTTACCCTGGGCAACAGCTGAGACGTCTGGGAAAGGATGCATCAGTAAGTAAGCCCAAAGAGGTGCCGTGGGTGACCAGGAATCCCATATTAGACAAGTTAATTCATACTCTGGACTACAGGTCCGGTTTCCTGGCCCTTATTTTACAGATACTTCTGGTCACTTACCTAGATGGACAACCGTTTAGAGCTCCGAAAATCCCTCTCCTGCCCGGAAGTTGTATTTGGCACTTCCGAATAGGGTCATGGCGGAAGGGTGTGAATAGCCTCGCCGCCCGTGCCCCAGGGAATGCCCATGCCTGACCTTAGTTGCGAAGTGAGGTGAGTCCCTCGGCCCCCACCAGTGGGGCAGGCCCGGGCCGGACAGTTGCTGTGGGACGGAGCGCTGAAATGGCGAGCGGGACTCAGAGCCGCTTCCGTTGGAAGGTGGTTTTCTTTCCGGGCTGGCCTGGCGGCGGCCAGGCCCGCCCCGCCTCCGCCCCACTGAGGCTCTCAGCGGGGTGAGGCCACTTTACCCGCCGCGCTAGCCTAGCCAGAGCCAGCCGGGCCGGGAGGGCCCCAGCGGGGAATGGGCGCGGACCTCGGGGCGGAGCTCCTAACTCCTGCAAAATGGAGCTCCTGACCACGCCTCCGCAAGTTCCTATTAAGTACTTTCGCTCCCAGGCCTTTGGAGGGAAGAGAATTCGGGAACTTGAGGAAATCATTTTACACTCTCAGCTGTGAAAGAAAAAGATGAGCCCCTATCACCAGGGCAAGACCTCAGTCTTTTTCCCCTGCCACTTGCCTTCCCGTTCTGATTTTCCCCGCTTTCCGCGTCTCTCCTTTGTTAGCTTTGACTGCGGTTCTGGGTGGAGGATATACTATCCTAATCCTACAGGTCTACAGTTTATTAAACAACATGGTGAATATTTAAAACTACTGTATTGCTTTTGTATGGCCCTTTACAAAGTTAATCATACATTATCTTGTAGTTTCTTCTGTATGCTTGAGTCAAGAACTCTGTCATCTTGGTAATACCGGGTTGGATGCTTAAAGCTGCAGCAAAAAGACCAGAACTTTCAGGTAAATGAAAATTGTTCCTATCCAGCCAGTCAACAATAAGGATGCAAACCTACCTTCTCTACTTGATTTCTACTTCATTAGTATTCACACTCCAGCCAAGATGAACTCGCTTGTTTCTTTGCGGTTAATTACTGAAATCGATTGTAGGCACTCTCCTTTTGTGATTCTCTATCTGATTCTGTTATTTGTTATCTGTGGGGATGTGTTTCCAGATTTTCCCCAGCAGGAAGTAATTTCCTCTGAATTTATCTAGCATTTTTTTGTACATCTTTTAGGACAATCAGTATTTTATATAATAGTTGCTTATGTTTTTAGCTTCAGTGCCATGTCTGCACCTAGATGGAATGGTTTGTATCAGATTCGTCTTCCTGTCATTTTCACCCTGCACATAATGTTATTTTGGTAAACACTTTCTGAAAGTTTGAATATATTGGGCATCTCTTGGATGCCCAAGACACTTCCAGCTGAGTTTAAGAGACCTTCAATTTATCAGAAATTCAGCAGAGCCCCTGCTACTCAACCTTTTCCTGCATTTCCCCATTAAGTCTTTTCTGACATGATTTTTCCCCAATGTTTTATAATTGAAAGTGTTGATATATTTAAAAGCTGAAAGAATTAAAGAATTCATGTATCCTTCTTCTATATGCAGCAGTTAACATTTTGCCATATATTTTTCATTCCTCCTCGCTTTTTCATTGTCATTGAACTATTTGGAAAAAAGTTGCAGACACCTGTTGTTAGGCAGACACCGTTAAGATTTCCAGCATGAATTTCTAAGAATTGTGAAGTTCTCCAGCAAAACACAATATCATTATTACAGCTGTTTTGTAATGTTTAAAATCTAGCCTAAGTGCAGATTTTCCTCTTACCCAGGAGTATATTTTATACCTTCTCCTTCACAGTTCTGCAAAAAATAAAAATCAAGATCCAGTCAAAATTTATATATTGTATGTGGGTATTGTAATTCTTTAGCTTTAATCTAGTAGAGGGCCCCCGTCATCCCCCCACCCACCCCCGTGACATTGGCATTTTGAAGAGTTCAAGCCATTAGTCTTTTTGGAAATGGGCCCCCATTTTCTTGTAAACGAGAAGTTAGTCTAGAGGGTTAAGTGGAACATTTTTTTTTTTTTTGAGAGGATATGTCACAGTATTCATACTTTTCCAGTCATGACTAAGCCTTCTGAAAGGCAACTATATGCACCTTTGCTGTGAGTTGCTGGTTAAATTCATCACCGTTCTCTGCACACTTACCCACCTCTGGTGTCCTACAAAGTAGTGAGTAGCATTTAATCCTGTGTGTGTAGAGTATGTGTTAATGACTTGGGTCGGCAACACAGAGTAACTACCTTTAAAAAAGTGTTGCTGCTACTTTGCCTATTCTTGGAGCTGATGCAATGTATTTCTGCAGTAAAGTGTACTGATGTCAGCATAGTTTCATGAGTTTCAACTCCTGGCACCCTGCAGACGTTGTTGAAAGATGTGTAGGCCCTGTAATTCAAATACGGATGAATCTTGATGTTATCAAAGCAAATACCAAGGCAACTGTTGGCCATCTGGTTACATTCCAATTTAGGCAATGTTATTTTTCTCCCTGAAATTCTCTTGCAAGTCTTAATTGGTCCTGGTGTTTTTGCGATAGCTTTTTGGTAGCATTAAGTAGAGTCTATTAAAAATTGCAAAATCAAGATTATACTTAACACTTAGTACATGAGATACATTCCCTGCCCAATGGATAGAGGAGTGTTTGTGGAATTTACTTCATAATCACAAGAGGAAAACTCTCAAGACTGCCAACCTCATAGACTCCTCCTAGCCTAGACTTATATTTGATCATGAAAGATAAGTGAAAGGAAAAAAATGCACATTCAGGGAGCAAAAGAAAATGCTCTGGGAGGGCAAATCTCTTAGATTGGTATAGAATGTTTTTAGCCATCATATTGAAAATACGTAATGCATCCCGTTAGTTGCTTCCTTTGTGTACAAGAAAATGTGCTTGTGTGAGAATACTCTAGATTTAAGTAAGGCAAAATAATATACCAATTAAGATCACAGGTTTTAACATCAGACCTGAGTTTCAGGAATAAGACTATTCAATAGCTGGATGATCTTCCACAGCCCTTCAGTCTATTTATTAAATGGGGTCTTGGCCAGGCATGGTGACTCACACCTATAATCCTAGCACTTCAAGAGGCCAAGGCAGGTGGATCACTTGAAGTCTGGAGTTTGAGACCAGCCTGGCCAACCTGGCAAAACGCTGTCTGTACCAAAAACGCAAAAATTAGCCTGATGTGGTGGTGTACATCTGTAGTCCCAGCTACTCGAAAGTCTGAGGCACCAGAATCGCTTGAGTCTGGAAGGCAGAGGTTTCAGTGAGCCAAGATCGCAGTACTGTACTCCAGCCTGGGCAACAGAGCAAGACCATGTCTCAAAAAAGAACATAAATAATTTTTATTTTAAATGGAGTCTTAAAACTGCTAAGGATTGTTGTACAGAATTCATTCAAATATGTATACAGTGCCATACCTTGGTTTATAGCACATGGAATACAGTCAGTGTATGGTGGTTAATAACTTCTAAAGCAGTCCAAATATTGACATCGAATATTTAGCGAGTAAAGGAATGAATCTTCAGACAGTAGTTCTCCAAGTTTAACATAGGAAACTTAATTAAAAGTTAGGGTCCAGCTGCCGTGACTCATGCCTATAATCCTAACACTTGGGGGGGCTGAGGTGGGCGGATCACTTGAGCCCAGGAGTTTGAGACCAGCCTGGGCAATATGGCAAAACCCTGTCTCAAAAAATACAACATATTAGCCGAGCAGTGTAGTGTGTGCCTGTAGTCCCAGCTACTTGAGAGGCTGAGGGAGGAGGATTACTTGAGCCCAGAAGGTCAAGGCTGTGGTGAGCAATGATCACATGACTACACTCTAGCCTGAGCAACAGAGCAAGACCCTGTCTCAAAAAAATAAATAAGAAAAAAAAAGCATTTTGATTTAACAATTCTAATTTCTGGAGAACTCCAGAAAAATCTGTATTTTTAATAATTGTACAGGGAGTTTTGATGCAGATGATCTGGGGACTGGGCTTTGAGAGGCACTATATAAAGTATCAAGCAACTTTTCGCTTTCCTTGCATATTGTTGAAATAGCTAACTAAATATTTCAGGAGCTGAGCAAATACTTTTTTAAAAAAGGTTAATAGCCAGCATTTTTAGGACCACCGCCTAGTACTGAATTTTGAAATAAGAAAGCTTATTAGAAAAAGACATTTTGCATAAGTAGGATGTATCATTACTAACTTAATAATAGTGTCTGCTGCTGGATTATCTCTGAGCCAGTGGCATCATCCAGGTTCACCCAAGAACAATTCCCATTCTTAGGCCCAGGCACATTTCAGAAGCTAGACACCACACATTTTATTCACATGAGCTTGAATTAATTAGCTAAATTGAACACATTGCAACATTTTTCTACCAGCAGATGCCAGATAGCAAAGCAGAATAGAATCTACTGTAGTCTCCAACATATGACATATGATGTTACTTGGCATCTCCAGATAAACATTATCAATCCATATTAAGCATTCTGCTAGCATGTGGGCAGTTGCTTGAGTAAGAGTGAGCATTACTACTTTATGTTTGCTGAAAAACGCATTCTTTCTGGGCTCCCTTTTTCACCTTTTTCTCATATTTACATTCCGAAATCTAGTATGTTTTTGAAAATTCATATATCAGTTAACCACAAGTCTTGGATAAGACAAAAGATAAAAATTTTATTATTCTCCCATTCTCACAACCAACACTAGGCAGGTTGAATTTAGTATAAAGGAGCTAACTTAATAAATATTCACAAAAGAAATACTCTTTACATACAGTATCCTTTACAGTCCATGGTCATGATTGCTCCTGACTACTACTTCAGTTTCCAGAGATTCTATTTTTGCATCCCAGTGCCCATTAATGATAAAATTAGACAGCTTGACCTATGTTCACAGTGGCTCTGTGTTTTACTGTAGTTGCAAAGTCAAATGCCTACAATGATTAGGCAAGTAAGGTAAGCAGTAGAAAGGACTGGAGAATTCCAGAGCATATGCTTACCTAAGTTAAGCATCACTTCCCAGCCCTAGCCAAATTTTGCCGTGTTGAAACGTGGGCTTGATGTTGCCAGATTTGTGAAATAGAGCTAAAGTTTGGATTTTGTGTAAAATGTCCTGATTTTTAAACGTTGGCTAAATACTTTTTAAGTATCTGTAAACCAAAAAATATTTAAGTAGATAGGATCAAGGGTTACCAGTTTATGACATGTTGTTTCTTAACATGAAAACATGAGTGGTGTTTTTGTTGAGAATCTCAAAATGCTTCAGAAGTGTTTTCTTTTTGCCATACATCAAGTGCATTGGTCAGGGTTCAGCAGCCAGTCACCTGTCATCTCCATTAGACATTCAACATAGATTCTTATATACAATGAGCTTCTGTTCCCTTGGATACAATTTTAAAGGTTTTACCCTTTGCTGCCCTTTTAAAAGTTTGTTCACATTTTCTCAATTAAGAGTTCTTTTATGAAATAGGTTTGCTCTATTATCATACTTTTTAAAACATTTAAGAACACAATTTGGCAGCACATCCTGCTTCAAAAGTAAGTTAAACAGGTTTTTAAAGAAAAGCACCTTTAAATAGATCATGCTGTTTTATAGGTACCATGATATTTATGAAGATTCAAAGATTTTTAGAGACAGAAGATACCTTATGGTAATCTAGGACAAGTCTTTATTATAGCAATATGAAAATTATTCCAGGTAACTTTTCCTGGAATAATAAATGTCATACTGTATTTCTAAAGACTTTTACATCTACTTATCACTTAAACCTTATAACCCAGTACAGATAATAAACATATTTTGTATGAGAAAACCAAGCCTCTGATTGGCTAAGAAAATATTCAAGGTCACACTGTTAGTGGTGTGGCCAGAGTAGAACCATGTACCCCATTTAAAGTATAAATG